CCCCCTCCCATGGTCCCCTCTCCGCTCCTCCAGCCCCCCCAACCCCTTACTCACCGGCACCAGAGCCCTGGTGCTGAAACATGTGGCCTGGCTGGCCGCATATTTCAGCACCAGGGCAAGGGGCCAACTACAGAGATGCTTTGGCAGCCAGAGCGTCTCCATGGAGGACCCAGCCTCTGGTTGCCTCAGGGCACAGTCCTGGACCGTGCCTTGCGCCTCTTTTTTCAGCTTCGATTTTTTGAGACCCCTGGATATCTAATTTTCTCCCCCCACAGCGAGTTTGCAGCACGGGTAACATTTTTCCATTCCTGAATGTGCCTGTTGCCCTGCCTCAAAGGGGGTTGAGGCAGGGAAAGAGGCATGTGTGCGCTCATGTGGACGTGCCCTATGGGGTTTTTTTAGTGTATTTTGCTTCCCAAACCCCTACTGATAGAACTAGAATGGTAAATAGCATAAAATCTGCTAATTTGACATTCAAGTACTCAGCTACTCTGTTCATCTCTCAAGATGCAGACACTTACCTCTTGAATATGCATGTATGCATCACCAAGAAGAAGAAAAGTATGAGAACTTGGCAACTGTTCTACCAGATCTCTGAAAAAGAGGACAATCTTGTTAATTATAAAGTTGCTAACATCAGTATTTCAAAGCATAGTTAATAAATATAGTAAGACTGCTTTAATCTTTGCAGATCAAAACTTTTTTGAACAACAGCTATCTTGGATCAAATGGCTTACACCAATTCAACATCCTAAAAGCCCATGTGGTAAGAATGAGAGCGAGAGAAATGAGATCTTGTGTTACAATTTACAGCTTTGAGGCTTGTTTTTGTCTGCATTTTACTGAAACCAGAAAGAAGCAATTCACCCACCACCCTCCAATGTATTGTCTAGAATCCTACACTAAATTAAATTTCTAATAAAACATAAATGACTGCCCAAACTCAACTAAAGCCCTAAGCCTCAAACCATTTTTTGTACATTTTTCCTCAGGGGAGCTTGCACAAAAACAATTCCATATATTTACAAAATTAATTTCAGTACTAAATAAAAAGGAAACCAAGTAGGTTCTTTGCCATTTATCAACATAGTTATCAGCCCCACTTCTCATCCACAATACAGTTCTTCTGGACTACCTTCATCCTACTGAATCAAATTTTCCAATATAGATAAATCAATTAAAAACAGTAGTTTCATAGTTGGTAGGGTCAGAAGGGACCTGAGCAGATCAAGTCTGACCCCCTGCCATGGGCAAGAAAGAATGCTGGGGTCAAACGACCCTGGCTAGGTCATTGTTTAGCCTCCATTGGAAGACCCCCAGGGTAAGAGTGAGCACCACTTCCCTTGGAAGTTGGTTCCAGCTCCTAGCTGCCCTGACTGTGAATTAGTGCCTCCTGATGTCTAGCCTGAACCTACTCTCAGTCAGCTTATGGCCGTTATTCCTTGTAACTCCCGGTAGTGCTCGGGGGAACAGGGACTCTCCCATAGTCTGCTGGTCCCCCTTGGCCAGTTTGTAGATGGCCACCAGATCCCCTCTCAGCCTTCTCTTGTGGAGGCTGAACAGGTTCAGGTCCTGTAGCCTTTCCTCATAGGCCATGCCTTGCTGCCCCCTGATCATGCAAGTGGCCCTCCTCTGGACCCTCTTGATGCTGTCCACATCCCTCCTGAAGTGCGGCACCCAGAACTGGATGCAGTACTCCAACTGTGACCTGGCCAGCGTCGCATAGAGAGGGAAAATCACCTCCTTGGACCTGCTTGTGATGCATGACAAGGTGCAGTTAGCCTTCCTGACCGCGTCCCCACATTGGCGGCCCATGTTCATTTTGGAATCAATAATGACACCAAGATCGTTTTCTGCCTCTGAGCTGATGAGAACAGAGTTCCCCAGCCTGTAGGTATGCTGCTGATTCTTCCTCCCCAGGTGCAGTGCCCTGCACTTGTCAGTATTGAAACCCATCCTGTTCTCATCCGCCCACCCCTGTAACCTGTCCAGATCTAGTTGCAGCCTGTCCCTCTCCTCTAGCATGCCCACCTCTCCCCACATCTTAGTGTCATCTGCAAATTTGAACAAGATGCTTTTCACCCCCTTGTCCAAGTTGCTAATGAAGATGTTGAGCAGTGTGGGCCCAAGGACCAAGCCCTGGGGAACCCCACTGCCCATGTCCCTTCAGGTTGAAAATGACCCATCCACCACCACTCTCTAGGTGTGGCCCTCCAGCCAATTTGCGACCCATCTGACTGTGTAGGCATCAACACCACAGTCGCCTCTTTTTAATGAGAATGGGGTGAGAGACAATGTCAAAGACCTTCCTAAAGTCCAGAAAGACAACTCCTGTATCCAAGGATTTTGTGACGTGGTCGTAGAAGGCCACCAGGTTGGTCTGACAGGGCCTGCCTCTAATGAACCCATGTTGGTTGACCCTAAACATAATCTCCCCTGCTGGTCCCTCGCAGATGTGCTCCTGGATAATTTTCTCAAAGAGCTTCCCCAGGACCAAGGTAAGACTAATGGGCCTATAGTATAATTAGAACATATGGGAAACTACAATTCCTAGCTTACTGAGTTTTGCCTCCTCCCCACTTCAGAATGTTTTTCTAGACATTTCTATCCTTCCTGTAAGCATTTTTGTCCCCCAATATCTAGAAAGGAAGAGAGCTAACTTTTTATCTTTGAGCCTATAAAGCAACTCTTGTTTCCTTCCTAGATTTCCCTTTGCTTTGGTGATCCCTGTCCCTCTTCCACCCCTTCTCTCTTTCAATCACCAGTGCTACTCTGTTGCAACATGGCTACAGTCAGTGTGTAGCTCAAGTCCATGTCACTGTGAAATTAAATTTCAAGTTCAGTTATAAGTCCTATAACAGTGGTGGCCCATGGGGCTCCTCAGAAGTGTGGAAATTTGGTGGCAGGATGAATGACAGCAGCTTTAATTTCTAGACCTGTGGGGAACCCTGTGAGCTGTATGATGTGCCTCAGTGGGCCATAACTTGGTAACCCCTTTTCTACATAAGACATTTTCCTTACAACAAACTTAAAAATAGAATAAAAACAAAAGTTTTGATCCTTTTATTCATTTTGCATTCTGTTCTTACACAGACACTTTTTAGAAGTGTAATAATAGACTCTTCCCATGGTACTTAAACCCGTGAGTAAGTTAAGGCAGAGCAAGTATACTACTTTACTCTTTATAGCCATAATACTGTAGAAGTTGATGTAAAAGGGACCTCCTGATCACTTGAGGTTGTTATAACATCTGTGGCAGTTCTTACAGGAACAGCTCCATTAAATCCTAGCTAAGTTCCAGTTTGGGTATTTAGTTATATTCTGCCTACCTAAGTTCACTCTCAAGTTTCAACTGGCTATGGTATGCTTCTTTTCTTCCTTTCCCAAATAGCTTTGTGATGTAGCTGGGCAGTTCAATCTGCTACCATCCATTCCCATTGTGGGATATGAGATTTCTGCACATTCAGGACAGTTTATAAACTACTCTGAGAACCTTCATGATAAAACACAACATATTAATATAAGAAATATATTTGATGAAGGACAGACAAGCTTACACACAATTAAAAAATGTAATTTGGAAATGTACTTAGCCTATGCATTTAAAAAAAATAAAGTACTAGATCCTGGTGTAAATTTATATACCAGAACAACTTACTACATAAAACCTAAAAGTTCAAAACAACAGGATTTATAAAGCTTCAATTCTATTGGAAACTAGTATTTGTCAAAATATAACTTAGTTATCGTAGCATTTCTTTATGGTGACAATGCAGTAGCCACAGACAATAATAATTAATAATAATAATATAAAATAATTTGTTAACCACATCCTCAAAAGCATTGGTCTTGCTTGAATGTTTGTTTACACAGTGAGAGGGTAAAATTTTAAAGAATGATTATGTATTTGATATATATCTATACCTATATCTATATTTTTTTTTTAGTGTAGGTTTTTGTGCAGTATGTCCCATAACATCATCTAGGATCTCAACTTTACATTTAACGACTTGCTCAAGTCCTTCCAAGTCGTCACGGACTCCAACAAGCAACATGTCAAATACCAGAGAGTGATTCTGAAGCTCAAACATGGCTCAGAGGACCACATTAATAGTAATATTGTGTAGTCTTTTAACTTATTGTATAAATCCTTAAGAGACTAGCCAGTTTCCAGGTGGCTCTCTCTGCATAGCTAAGCTTCTTGGCTGCTTTGAGATCAGGTAAGCAAGTGAACTAACAGAAAGGAAGATCAGTCAGTAGCATGCAGGTAAGCTGGACTGCAAGTCATCAGGAGTCATGACTCAAGCCATAAATCATTTGTTATTCAGCAAACACTTTGAGTCATTTCCCTTTTCCTCAATCCAAAAAATAAATAAATAAAAAAATCAAGGTTGGACAGCTAAGAGCAGCAGGAAGCTGATGGGGATAGATTTCTACATGAGAAAAAAACAAGTTCACAAAGGAAGGCAGGCAAGAAAGTGAGATTTTCTATTTCATGTGGGACAGGTTCTTTTAGCAAATCACCCTAAGACTTAGCAAAGGGAAGGAAAGTTTATTCTTAAAACAGGAGAAAACACTATTTGAAAAGGGGCAGTCCTAAGGTGCTCACAATTAGTATATGTTACCTATAGCACCACAGTTCTTTTTGTCAATTTGTATGCCCATCCTCAAAATCCTAGAGTTTATATTGTGAGAATGGCATCGTGTGAAACTAAAACCCAAGACGCATAAACCAACTATCTATTCAAGCATGGTATAGGTCACTGTGGTGCAACAGGATAGTAACTGCTAGATGTCACATAAGAATGAAAGTTAAACTGCTGACTTGGTAGACTCATAACAAATCACTTAAAATATGTATGTGCTTATTTTCCTAAATATCTTGGATATTTAGTCAATTACATATAATATACATCAATTAAGAGGATTGTAAAATGAAAAAAATCTCTACTTTTATCAAACTATCCATGCTGAACATTAGTAAAAGTTACTATAAGAAAAAAATGCAGGAGTTTTGAACCTTTTATCCATCAAGTAAATAAACAAACTATTTAAAAAAATTAAGAACTTGAAATATTCATTAGTATTCAGAACAAGTTTCTAGTTTAAAAATTTAATACTCATATAGGAAGCATTTATTCTGATGTTTACTTCTGTCGTCACAGCACTCGACTGAATGCATCATAAGACCCACAAGCCAGATCAATCACTAGTTCTAGCCTGTGGAGCTAGAAGGCTATGTCTGTGTCTGAGTCCGCATGTGTGCCGGAGACAGGCAGTGAAAAGCTACATCAAGGCCAGGCAACTTCCAGCTGTGCCTTTGCTGCCATTGGTTCTTCTTGCCCTCCCAAGGCTGTGGGATGAGGGCAGCTGCAGGGGGGTGGGGGGAGGAACAGCAAGAAGTGGCAGCAGCGTGGACATAGCTTCCAGCTGCCAAGTCCCAGGACAGTTCTCTACTCCTTGGAAGTTGTGCTTGCACCCAAGTTGGATAGTAGGGAAAGCCCCCCACTGCTTATGCACCACTGAAACCACTTATCCTGCACTGAACCAAAGCAGTTGTTCCAGCTTGTAGCTTGTAACAGTTGCCAGCCACTGGTTTAAATGGCTTAAAAAACATATGGAAAAACAATGGAATATAGACCATTAACTTTTACCTATAGCAGCTTGCATATAACTTCTTGTCTTTTCTGTACTGAAGGTAAATGTCTGCCATTTTTTCTTTGGCTTGTACAAAGTAAGGTTGCTCAGGTGTAATATTTCGGAGCATGGTCAAGGCTTGTTCTACATCTCCTTGTGCAAGGGCCAGGTCTGCATTAGCAATCACAACTCTCAGTTCTTCAGGTGTGCCAGAGAATTCATTAATAGCATCTTGCAGTACTTTAGCAGCTTCATGCTGTAAATGGATAAAATAAGTGTTTTTTGTTGATTTTGAAATGGTTACTATAGCCAATGGGAGCTACCTTCCAAATAAATGGCTGACCACTAGAGAAAATGTGTAGCTTACTTTAAGACATCTGACCTGGAAAAACTTAACTGTATTCATGTTTAAGTGAAGTACACAAGTATCAGAAAGATAAACAAATACTTTTGTAATTATAGTCCCATGCATAAGAGTATACCTCCAGTGTTTATTCCTAGGGAATATACCTTAAAAAAATGGAATACCAGAATCCAACTGGTACTGAAAATCCAACAACACTAAGTAGATAATGTGTATTTTCAGTACAGCTATGACAGCAACGTAAGTCTTAGCTTATTGCTTATCAGCTTCAAAGTTAACCCTCGTTAGGATAAAATGAAGGAAGCATTTCAGGCTCTGCAGACTCAAAAAAAAAAAAAAAAAAGAATAAGTTATCAAAATTATCTTCACTAAGAAAAATAGTATATACAAATTCTGAATTCCAAGACTTTGGGGGCTCCCCCTCAGGATTTTAAAGCATGTATTAGTATACATTCAGATCTTTTATGTCCATGCAGCCATGATCCCAAGTTTATATTTCCCCATAATGAACCAAAACGTTTTTGGACTGGGCTAGTTCAGGAGTAGATTTTCTAATGAAATAAGTGAATATAGCAAGCTCTTATTAAACTTGATTGCCATACCTGTTCTCCATTCAAACAATGTGCATCTACCAATTCAAGAAAAACAGACACTCGGTCACATGCATCAATTTCAATTCTTTTTGCTTTTGATTTTGAGGAAGCTGAAGATCTCCTCATTCCAGGTAAACTTCTTGCCATTCGCAAGGTCTTAACAGCTTCTGATATTTCTCCCATCTTCTTCTGTGTCTGTGCTTTAATTAAGTGATATAAAGGGTGTTCCCTCACCTGCAATATAATAAAATTAGTCAATTTGTATATTCTGATTTATTTTTTAAAACAAAATGGTATTTCATTTTCAAAGAAAATATATGATATTTTTTGTTATTTCCTTAAGCTATATCTAGAGAGAAGCAGCAGCAGACATGTCATGCTTGGGTTTAGACCAGGGGTGGTCAATCTGTGGCAGAGGTGTCATGAGTGGCATGTGTAGCCTTTGTGTGTGGCACACAGTAGATTGGGGAAGGGACAGGCAGCAAAGTGGCAGACAGGACAGAGAGCAGAAAGCAGAACAGCAACTAAGTCAGGGAGTACAAGACAAGGAGCAGGAAGTTAAGCAACAGAGCAGGTAAGGAAAAAGAATTGAAGTGGCACTCAGGGAAGATGCGAAGCTAATTTGTGGCATGCCTGACAAAAAAAGGTTGGTCCCCAGTGGTCTATACAATGTAGTCTTTGTGTCATTAAGCAAAGTTAATGTTTAAAAAAAAAAAAAAGAACAAAAATGCATTTTTATTAAAAACCTACATGCCGAACAAAAGCATCTCATGGAATCAAAACTAGGATCCAGGGAAGACAAATCAGGCATTTGACCATTATTTAAAAATAAACCTGCTTGCTTCTGATATTTTCCAAGTTTCTCCCAGCCTGAAGTGTACCTACACTACAGTAGGCGACCATGGTAGTTTCAAAAGAAATGGACACATTCTAGGATAAGTTAATAGGATAGATAATCTGCCAGTTTACTTTATGCACAAGCCCATTTTATCATTTTTTCACCTCATCTCTTATATAGACGGCTTGGATAATAAAAGAAAAGGCTGCTATGAGCATAAATGTACAAAAGTTCCAGGCACAGCATTCACTTTTAAATGGGAATTTAGCATCTAGCTTCCCTACACCAATTCTTGGTGAAACAAGGGAAGTTAAAGAACAATTTCAAAGGACAAACATGTTTTGTTATCATCTGTTTTGCAACCAAGGTTCTTTTCATGATTTAATCCTGCAAAATGCTAAATACACCAGTCCTGATTCAGCAAAGAACTTGAATTTAAGCACGTGAATAATTTAATTGAATTCAGTGAATTAATGTTCTTAGCACCTTGCTTTCCAGAGCCCTGTATCACAAGAGGTGAAATTAGGGAATACCACTGAAGAGCACCCACTGATTTCAAAATTTGCCAGTTTTGCTTCCCAGGGAACAGGAAAAAATATTAATACCCAATTAGCCCACCCTGCATATTATTTCATGCAAGTTTTAACATCTTTGTTTCATGATCACTTAAGGATTACAAATCCTATTTATATAATACACCATAGCATATCAGAATATTAATTCTTTCTAGATCTTTGTAATATAGGAATTAGAAACGGGAAAACAATCCTTCTTATTTCTTTCTTTATATTACAAGAACATTCTGATACCTTATACAAAGAACCTCATCACATCAATTAAACTTGCAATTAAAGTCACTTACCTGACACAAAGATACAGATGCTATACTTAGGAAAAGAGTTTCAGTATTAAAAGCATGCACCTTCCTATTCAAGATACCTTACGAATGTTGCATAGCTGACTAAAAGACTAGAGTGTTTTTATTCAGTCTTACTCACCTCAAAATTGTAGCTCAGACAAAGTTCCAGAGACTGAGAACAGAGTTTAAAATTGTTTTGGGCCAAAAAAACCTGGGCCATAAGTAGGTGAGCTTCAGCATAAGAAGGATTCTGTTCAAGGCAATGCTGTAAGCTGCTGTGAGCTGCTTCAATATCCCCTAATATATTTAAACAAGAACAGCAAAAATAAAAACAAAAAATAATTTACAATCCAAGTATTTTTACAGATAACTATCTTCCATTTTGTCTGCATTTTAAAACTTCAAAGCATACTGCTACTAAATATGAACATTTAACAAGTTACGAATGAGCTCATAAAGTAGATATTAAATATTTATAATTACTGCTGTTAAGAACTCAAATCAAAACCACAATGCAGGGATGAAAAGGCTACATTTTCCCACACCTGTTTTCCTGAACTCTTGAAGAGGGTTCCTCTAGTAGAATTCAATGCTACCTTTCTCTCTTTCCAGAAGTACATTTAACAAACTGGAGTTGCAGTAATAGAAAAAACACGGCCAAGAAAATATGTACTTTTGTATTTTCATAAAAAGATAAAATACAAGAAATTAGCTAATACTCAGATATGACATAAACTATTTTCATTTCATTGCAAAGACTTAATATTGTCTACCTTTTTAACATGTAAGAATTAATTTAAACAAAAACATTTGTATTGTGCTACACATACATATTACCTGATAAATATTTCACCTTTGCAATCAAAAAGACAGCTTGTAAGAGACCTGGCACTGTTTTTACTACAGTTTCAAGAACTGAGGCACACTGCTTGAGAAGTGGTGAAGGAGGCTGTCCTGGACTTGCAGGCTAGAAATAAAAACAGATCAAGTGAGAAATTCATTTTAAGATCTCAGCAAAAAAGAAATAGCAAAAAAGAAAATACAGATTATACTACTCAACCTATGCAGAAATTTCTAGAAACTAAACAGTAAAACACCAAACAAAAAAAAAAACAAACGAACACCTGTCACCTACAATAAATAGTACAATGTATTTTAAATAAAAAGATGACAAATTCTACACTATTTTGGAATAAATTCAGAGTGTTTCATCAGAATCAGTGGGACTAGGTCAGTAAAAAACTGGAGAAAATGAAATCTGAATCATATGGTCATATGTAAACTCAATCCAAGGCATCAGCACCTGATGTTTCCAAACAGTGATAACAAGTTGGGTACATAAAGTTAAAATTGAATAGAAAGTTGAGAGAAGGGTAGATTGCCTGTACTTCCCCCGCCCCCCCAACTCCTCTAGTTCATGGATGACTGTCCATGTGAGTACGGACTCTGCAACATGCTCCAAGGCATGACCACCTGCAGGTTTTACACAATTAAACTAGGAAACTCCACCTAAATTTAAATAGGCCTAGTACCATAATGGAATACACAAGATAAAAATACTAACCTTTATTTGTCAGTTACCTGTACTAAGTCACGGTGTATTGGGTTATCTCACAAATTCCTTAGTTTATGTAAAGGATTTGGATGTTTCAGGGTGTTTAAAAGACTATTTCGAAGGGTTCACATTAAAACCTGTTTCTGTAGGGGTTGGGACAGGGAGACAGTCGTTGAGGATGTGGGTTCTTGGGTTTTAGGGCATTGTTTGGAGAATCCTATCTGGCACTTGTCTGCTTATTGTAAGTTGCTCTGAGCCTTTTGGATACGGCAGAATACACATCTAACAAATTAAACAAAGAGCAGCATTTATTCCCCTGTATAACGTCAGCCTCCGCCACACCCAAGAAAACAGCTTAAGTGTATGCCCATAGGTGTGGGCCTGGAGTGAATTCTTTTAATGGCTGAATGACTTCCTTAGAAATTATGGTGCACAGAAGCAGAAATCCTCTACAAACAAAACATCTACCTGGCTGGCTTATACAAACTGGACTCTTTTTTTCCTTACTAAACTTCATAGACTCTTCCCTTTCCAAGGGAGGATGCAACTCCCTGTAGTTGCCAGCCATTTTCCTTTCCTAGAGATTTTCTTGTAGGAGAAGTAGTCTGGCCACCAGTTTTCATCCATCTTTGATTCTCTTACAGTCAGAGACAGAATTGCTGTTGATGATATTTTTCTGGAAAACAACCCCTACCAGCTAAAGTTTCAGAAAACAATTTAAAATTTTAAAATTTCAGCTCTAAGTATAGTTTGCAGGGTAACAATAATTTCTTGCCTTTTCAATACTCCAACTGTCCACACAGAAAAATGGGATTTTTTTTTAAATAAAAAATTCAATCTTTTCATATAAAAAATGCTGCTTACATGGATTTATTTCTTGTTTGCACCATCGTTCTCATTGTGTAGTCCTGTAAGAGGCTACAACTATCATTATTCTTTTGGACTTTAACTTCATCTTTTCATTCTGCTCTAAACTGTTGTAGGGCAGTTACATTACTATACAATCTGAATGTGGCTGTAAGACATTAACATAATACAAAGCTAATTATTATAGGACTAACCTAAAGTTAACTGTCACAGTATGCTGGAAGCCCCCTGAACTGTATATCAGAGGTAATTAAAATAGTTACTCTTACTCAAAAAAGGAACAGCTTTATGATAGAAAAGAGAATATTGCAAAAAACTCTATTGATAGCATGTAACAGAGGGCCTACTTGGGCCGATCTCTGTGGCCCGCCCACCTGTTCTTGGGCCAACCACCCGCCTTCTCATCTGCCACACCTTGATGTTAATTGATTAATTAATTGATGTCAATTAAGCGGGAGGCTACCCATTTTGGTGCCCCGATGCCAGGGGGCGCTCTCTATGGCTCCTTTCCTCCCCTATACCGTAGCCCAAGCCTCGCAGATGGCATCTTGATGTTCACATCATCACCGGGCCCCACACTGGGCCCCAGAATCCTCCTAACAGGACCCCTCCACGATCCCTCCATTCTGGCTACCAGCCCTGGCCCACCTCCAGGCCAGTCGGGAAAGCAGGCCCTCGGCTCTTGGGCATCCCTTGCAGTGGGCCACTGGCCCTTTTGACTGTCCTGGTCCTGGCCCCAGCATGGACCAGTCGAGGGTACTCTCTTGTTCAGGTCGGGTCTCTAGCCCCTCACTCTCTCCAGGGGTCTGCCCTCTGGGCCCTTCACACAAACACAGGGGTTACCCACCCGGTGGTGGGGGCTAGGGATTAAGGCGCCCCGACCCGCCTTTCACTGGGGTGGTAACTGGCCTGGCATTTCCTGGGGGCTCCCGCGCCACTGGGAGCCCCACCAGGCCACCCACTCCCGGCAGGGTGCAGTTTTAGGTCATGCCCTCGGCCAGGAGCCTCCTGACCATCCCCTACAGCTCCTCCCTTACCTCCAGATGTAGATCTCAACAGCCCTCCAGCAGCCAAACTGCCCTGTTCATATAGACAGCCCTTGACTCCAAAATGGCTGCCCTCATCAGGCACCTGGTGGCTGCCAGCTCCAGGCCCTTAAAGTGGCAGGCACACACAGTGCCCTGCCACATAGCACTTAGTAAAATATTTTAACTTCCAAATGTTAAGATCGCTACCGTATTTTTGATGGTACCTAGAGGGCGCGACTACACGTTCATTAATGCGCTTTTGCTAGTGTACATTAAATGTAGTACCTATAATGTGAGGTACTAAATAAATGCACATTAGGCTACCCTAATGTGCAGTAGCAAAAGCGCAGGCTTTTTTTAAGGTGATGCTTAATGTGCAGAAGCCTAATTTTACTGTATATTAGTGTATTAGCATGGTTTTTAACGTGACGCTCTAATGCACAGTAAAATAGGTTCTTGTGCTTTAAGATGCACATGTAGACACACACGGAAAATCTTAAATATTGCTGTCATCCAGGAACAACAGGATGGCAACCTCAGTCAAAGAAAACTAATTCACAGGCTAGATAAACAGCAAGCAGAAATGTGATTTTACAGTTTTACTAGTACACATAGGACATACATGAGGAAAACTGTCCCATCCAGACAAAATTTGTATGTATGTAGGTGAGATCATTATTTAGTCTTCATTTACATGTGTTATATTCCCCTAGTCAACAGATTATTGATAAAATAATTAGAGATATATTTGTGTCATCTTGGACTTATCCTCAAACCTTCTTCAAATAAAACTGCTATAAAGGGAATGAGAAGTATATTTATGGTTATTTCAATTGACATGCAACATGTTTTGGACATAGTTTTTCATAATTTAAATTCTATATTTTGGGTAGTTATCAAAAATCCCTTTTATTTGTAATTGGTAAAAGGAAATTAAAAAAATGGAATATAAGACACTTAGCAGTTCTGAGAGATAAGAAATCTAATATTACTTTACCTGTGTTGGGCAAAAATTTAGATATTCCCTAATAATTTCTAGCAAGAAATCAGGGTTCAGTTTTTCAAAGTACTCTACACCAAGAGGTAAGCCATGCAAAGATGAAAAGTGAGTATCCAGAACATCATTCAAAAAGTGAATAACCTCTTCCTGTCTTTTATGTTTCTTCATAGCTAGAACTGCACGCAAAAAAGACAGTTCCTACAAAACAAACAGGACATTTTCAACTTTACAGCAACAATCACTTGCATTACTTTTTAGTGTTATTATATTTATTATCAGTAGTAGCAGCATCCAGCACTGCAGTAACTAAAAAGTTAGCACTCTATATTCTATACTTGGGAATATTTTGTAACATTCAGCCACATAGTATGATTAAAACATTTAGAGATGATCATTAAAATGCATGCAAAAAAGGTTTGCATAGTGCAACCATAATTCTCCTTCAACACACAAACATTGTAACTTGTCAATGTCAAAACCACCAACAAGAAAGATGTCCAAATAAAATACAAAAAGCCTGTCACTCTATTGAAGGCACATTCTCAGAAAGAGTTTGAATAAACATACAGCCCTTGCCTCAAAGCCCAACATGCTACCCTTGTCTGGTGGAAAGGAGGAAAACAAAAGAGGCAAATTTCAGAGTTATGGCCCTTCATTAAGAAAGCTCTGCCTCAAAGAGAATGGCTGTTGAAAAGTTATTTTAAACAGGGCCACCACTTCAAATTAGAATCACAGTACTTCAGTAAAGGAAGATATCTCCTACCCCAGATTTCCCAATGCTTTGTTGAATTTCATTAAGAAATTCCAACTGCTGATCTGCATCTTCCAACTGTCCTTCTATTAGCTGACAACGGATAATTCCTGTAACAATATAAAACATTTAACTTCAGGCTCATCTTTATAACCGCTACCCACTGTTCACATGACAATGGAGAGGGGAAAAAGGATACAAGAACAAGATGTGTAATGATAAATCAGAATTTATACACAGAGCCCAACATATATTTTCTACAGCTATGACTATCCTTCATGAAAACTCTTTCTCCTTTTATCCCCACCAGCACACTCCTTACACTTGATCTGGGGTAATGTAGGTTACTTAAACTGAGTGTGTTACAAACTTTCAAATTCATCATGTATTACAAAATCCAGGATATTCCCAGTATGCTTTTCTTATTTTGCTTAATTCACTGATGCCAATGCAACTTTGCAGAAATTAGTGGATTTACACAAGATGCAAATAAGCAAAGTTCACGCTCACTCAAACATGTGTGATGTTTAGGCTACAGCCAGCATGCAACTGTAGCTTGACTAAAGAAGAGCTTAGATGAATAACCCACTGACCTCACAAGATGCAGGAGCTGCATAGGACTGAAAACTCTACAACATGCTATCTTCCCTGACACATGCAAAAGAACACCTGAATAGAGATGGATTTTACAAGGGGAGCTGGGGGGAAACAGACAAGGTTTTATAGACACTGGAGGCTCACAAAAATATTGCATTAGATTAATGGAAAAGTGAAATCCAATCTTCACAGATATCAAAGCACACAGCATGACTCAAAATAGTAAATTAATTACTAAGAGAAAGGAGACTTGTAACATCAACAAATGCCTTATTTAAATTTTAAATTATTTCCTTAAAGGGGAATAAAGAAACTCTCTCTTAGCATAGGTTGTAATTTTTACTTTCATCTGTTCTCTACTAACTGCAGGTCAGGGATAGGTGATACTACAGCATGGAAGATTTGCTTCCACATCATCATTATTTTTATTCATTCTCTACCTATTGCTAAAGTGACCCTCCTTATCTAGAGCTCAGAAATCACTATTTGAATGAGGGTGAGCGAGATGGCAAAACACAGACACATGACGTGGGGGGACTTACCCTCCCCCAGCTTCTAAGGTAGATGGGGGTTATGGCCAGGGGCAACTGATCTTTCTGTTTTAGTGCCCTAGGTGTTACTTGTACCAACAGTCAATAAACAGATCAAAGAAAAGGATTTCTCCATGCCCTTTTTGACTTAAAAAAAAAAGATATGCAAAGGAAAAAGTATCAGGTCATACCAGTCAATGCAGAAACACTTGTCTCATCAAGTGTCATAGCAGTCTTATACCATTTTAAAGCCTCTTTGACTCTTTCTTGTAAAATCATCTGATAACCAAGTTCTGTAGCAATTTCTGCATCATGTGATGCCAAGCCAAATGCTCTTTCAACTAAGGTTTGAGTCTGTTGAAGGATGAGCTGGTTCCGGTCACACTAAAAGCAAGAATAGTTTTACACCTAAAAGCTTTCAGTTACATTTTGTTTAATGATATTTTCAAGGTATTCAGGCACTATATCATGACTTTTTAAATGAAGATGCACTTCTGATTTCAAATGGTGGCACTGAATCTTGATCAAAAAGAACAAAATGCCTTTTCTTTTACAGTCATTGATTTCTAGCAAACACATGCACAAAGCTGGTTTTAGGAAATAAATAGCAACACATCTTTCCTTTTAGTACAGATTAAGAAGTACTGTGCAGATGTGGATAAAATATTCCATTTTAGGAGACAACCACTGCTAAGCAATACAACAACATCCTTCAAGGCACCGCTGCTGGCAGTTATTTTACTGTGTATATGTGGCCCCAGTTATTGTGCAATGATCTTTATAGAACTGGCTTCTGCATAAGCAATCCTGTCAACCAAGACTAAGATACATACATGACCATATAACAAGAGGTGAAACAGCTGTGACCTGTCAATAGTATTTGCTTTCAGTTACATGGAATAAATCTCTCCTACATGGACATGAAAAGCCATGACTGCCTGTAAAATGTTGAATGAATGGAGCCATCTTATCCAATCTCACATTTGTGAATAAGCAGAATAATGCTTAAAGATGTTAAATAAGAACAAAAATAAGAAAAAAAATACTCATATATTCACTGTTTTTCACTTTTGTTAAAATGCTATATTAAGTTTCTGGCAACGTCATTTAGCTTTCATCCACTTACCTAAACTTCAAAAAACTAATTCTCCAGGGGAAAGTGGAAACTTTTTCCTCACAATTGCTCTGTAATCCAATTTATCCATGGTAGAATTTCAATTTTCATTTAGAATAGAACAACTACACTTTTATTCCTTATTGTCATAAATTATCCTTCCAAATGTAAAAAACTTTATTGCTGGTTCCTTAAATGTGCAGACAGAAAGCTCCAATGCCATTGACATGGCTTTGTCAAATGGAAGTAGAAGCAGGAAAATGAAATTAAGACTGCTCAGCTTCATGCTGTTATTCAAGAAGCCATATGAGCAGCAAAAAATGTGACTGGTAAATGAGCATCTCAGATATTTCTACCATTCCACTGAATTTTCAAATTAAAATGCCGTCTAATATAGTCAACCAGTTCTGGCTTGCCATGTTACTGACATTTTCATTAAGGAAAAAAATTATACTCACTGTTCTGCTGAAAGCTAGTGCCATTTTACAAAATAGTTGAGGATTATGCGGTTCAAGTTTTTCCAGTGCATGAATTAGGTCTCCCAGCCTGGCTGCAGCCTAAAAGAAATGGAAGCATGGAAGTGGCATGTAAACCAACAAATACAAGGCTGCAAATGGATCTTCTTAATGGATTTGTGGCTGACTGCAGGATTAAAAAGTATTTTGGACATTCAAACTAATAAAACAAGTGTTCAAGTGTTAGAAAAATACTCTGAAGCTGCCCAATCAGCAAAGGTTCAGTGAAACAGGTATAATCCAGAACCTAAACCTGCAGATTTAAGGGACCAGGAAATAAAATCAGTCTGGAAGATACAGACACCAGCATGGTTCCCTGGGCTTGTTCCTCAATATCCAAGAATGATTTTTAATGCACTGCTCAGCAAAATCAATAAGCATCTTTTATATACAAGACAATTCCACCTAAAGCCAAAATCATTTATACTGAAAAGGCACAAAGGAATGGTCCTCAAATTATAAAATGGAAGAATAAAGGGTAACATTTGCCAAAGTAGTTCCAGCCTAGATTCATAAAAAGGACCCAAACACCTAAGTTGCATTTTAAAAGGAATTTAGGGTCCTAAGTCCAAGTTACTGAGCCACTGCCTAAAATGCCACCAGTACCTGTTTTCTGTTCAGTTCAGCTACTGAGCATACCCTGAACTGCTACATTGGCAGAACAACTGTTTGAGTTGTTTAACCCCTCCTAAAGCTAATTTAGGATTGACAAATAAGGTATTTTTGAGCCTAAGTGCTCTAAAAGGCCTAACCTGAGAGGTATATTCTAAGCACACTTAACATGCATTGACAGCACTTAGTTTCACTTAAAACTGGGGGCAGTGATGCTGCTTTCATTTTGCACAACAGACTAGTGGTTAGAGAACTCAACCAGGAAGCAAGAGCTTGGGTTCTAGGCCCTGATGAGACTGATACTGCCTCCCCACAGGACAGCACCCTAATCACCAGATTTGTGAATGTAGCTGGAGAGAGGACACCAGCAATCCCTTCTATAAAAGCTGAGCAACTGTAAGGCAAGAAGCAGGCACAGTGGCAGAAAGATTGAAGTCTGCAGTTCAGCAAGAAGGGTACTTGCCTAGGAAAGGGGGAAATTCTGGCTTTTGATCCTTGCCCATGATATGCTTTATGAATTCTGGCGTAGAGTCACTAGATAACATTCAGGAACATTAAGAGCAGGTATGCACAAAAGAGCACCTACAGACTTCAAACACCTCTGGAGTCAGGTAAAAGCTGAGCAGGTTGTTTTAAGGCTCACTAGACTGGACTGGGTTTAGGTGCCGAAGTCCCATCTAATGGTATACATCCTTTTGTGGACTTTGTCTCAAAATCCTAAATTCATAACTGAAAACTTTATTTAAAGTTTTACTAATCCCAGCTTTATCGGATGGGACTGTGATGGCCGAAGCAATAATGTTAACTACTTTTACATGTTATGCAACTGTGAACCATCTACTGAGAGAAAAAATCTTTTAAAAAGAAATGAAGATAAGCAGATATATAATGATGATGTACTGCTTCTCTGGTTACTGGGAGATGCACCAAAATCCATGGATTTATAAGATGTTCATTAGCTTCTGTCACAACATATTAAAACGCTCCATTATGGCTTTTTGTACTTATTTATTTAGAGATGTGCTAACAGCTTTATACAATTATTTAAATTACTTTATTTAGAACTGCACTAATGGCATAAAATATTTCTCCCTTTAAATATACAACACTTCGCTTTTATTTATCTGTCATGAGACCCTTTGGCATTTAAAACAGATCTAGGCTATTATTTCTATGTAATTATGTAACTGAATTTGTTTTGTGCTAACTGTATAAAAGCACATTTTCCCCTAAAAGTGAGGTAATAGAATAATACATAAAAATCCTTAGTGAGTCTCATAAGGATAAATTAAATGGAATTTTTAATTAAGTGACTGAAGAGGCACCAGAAGAGGAGGAAGTATGATGAAGGAAGGATTTACAGTATCGGTGCATATTGAATCAATACCAATAAAAGGAAAATTGGCATTATGGGCAAACAGCTTTTCTTGGCCGGGGTAACCAATAACATCAGTGATAGATGCCACGTGCATGCACACAGCCGCAGCATGCATGCAGCCAGGAATGCAGCCAGGCAGTGTGAAGAGCAGCATCCAGCTGGTAAGTCTGTAGGGGGGAGGAGAGGGCAGATCGAGGGCCCCCCACAGTGAGGGAGGGAATGGGGCTGGGGTAGGCACTGTCTAGCCGGGGTGGGACAGGGCATGGGACAGAGCCATGGGCAGCTCATCTGGGGGCATAGGGAGGAAGGACAGCCCCTGCTGCTATGGGCAGCCCCAGGGGAGGCATGGGAGGGCATGTGCCCTCCAGATTTGTGCATGGGGTGAGGGTGGGCTGCCTTCTGTGGACTTGGGGCCAGGGGCTGTGCCAGCCTCTTCCCAGTGGGCGGGGGCTACGCTCAAACCAGGCAGGGGGCGACACTGGGAGGGGTGGCCATAGGGTGGGCTACAGTCACCCCCAAATTTGCCATAACCCTCCCCTCCTAGTGCTGTTGCTGCCTACCCCAAGTGCACATGCCCCCCCCCCCTCCATGCTTCCCCTGGGGTGCATGCAGCAACAGGAGCCACCCCCATTGCCAGCCTGCAGACACAAGCTACACGCAGCTCTGTCCTGCGCCTCTCCCCACCCCGGCTGGGCAACACCTGCTCCTGCCTCTGTCCCAGCCTCATTCCCTCCCTTATTGCAAGGGCCTTGATCTATCCCCGTCATGACCCTTCCCCCACAAAGACTTACCGGCCAAATGCTGCTCTCCAAGCTGCTGGGCTGCATATCAACTATTGGATCGGTATCAGCCGTTATGTCTGGTTAATAATTGGCCATCAGTATCAGCCAAAAAAATCTTTAAACAGGTGCATCCCTAAGTTGCAGCCATACAATTAACTCACTGGACAAAAAGGGAATAGGAAATTCAGTCTGACTTCCTCCTATTCAGTGGCATAGTGAAAATAAACTGTGGACATCTGTCCAAGAAAAAAAAAATCTATGGTGCTGAAAGGGTATTGCAAGCAAAACCTGGCCCTGTCTCATTTTCTAATATTATTTTAGCTGACATAATATATTTACAGTCCTTTATTATATAATCTTTTTTTGGACCATTAAAGTTTTCAGTGATTGAAAAGTCTGATATGAAAGGACTCACCTCAGTTATATTTCCTTCTCTACAAAGATAATGAAGAACTTCCATTCTTATGGCTTCCAAATTAAGAGCATCTTTCTGCAGCAATCTGAGAAAGATATACAATTGCGTCAGTGTTACTTGACAATATTTTTTAAAGTAACTGTAGGAGTGTCTACACATGCATTTGATCCTCGCAAGTAAATGCTCCCGGACAGGCATCTACACATGCAGGGAAGTGGAAGCAGATTAGCTGTTAATGGCAGCAAAACTGCTCCCACTTCCTGAAGCCCTGCAATGGGGCCCTGTTGCCACCAGGGGATCTCTATGCTGCCCCTGGGTGCTAGGGGCTGGCAGGGAACATTGGGCCAGGAGAAAGCAGTTTCCTGGCTGGGGCTGGGACATTTACACCCTGCAGCCAGGGGCTGCCTCCTGGATAAATTAAGAATAAATTAAATGGGATTTTTAATAAAGTGACTGAAGAGGCACCAGAAGAGGAAGAAATATGAGGAAGAAAGGATCTGCAGTAGAGATACACCAATATATTGGTGCATACTGGATCAGCACCAATAAAAAGAAAATTAGCATTATCGGCAATCAGCTTTTTTTGGGCATAGCTGATAACGTCGCTGTTAAATGCCACATGCAGCCCAGATGGAGTGTCGCACCAAATCCTGCTTCTTTGGGATTATCACCTTTAAACATTATGTACATGAGGCATGATTTATGAACACCAACACTTCAAAAACTTTCAAGCTCACAGAGGTTCTCTCCTCCAGAGTGCCTAAGAACAGCAGGGCCTAAGAACTGCAGGCCCTATATCAAGACATTATACCAGCAGTCCGTGTGGGTGTCTGTGGCAGCACACCTTTGGGTGCTTGCCACTTTAGGGGCTGGAGGCAGACATCTGGTAGGTGCCTGATTAGGGCACCCATTTTAAGACCAAGTTTATATAGGGTGAGGCAGTAGTTTGTTGCCAGCCGAGAGAGAATCATCAGCCGGCTGAGCTATAATTCTAGAACATCTTAGAGGTAAGAGCATAGCTATGGGGGTGGTTTGGAGGCTCCTGGCCCTGGGCATGACCTAAAACTGCAACCTGCTGTATAAGGGGGATCTGGCAGTGCTGTCTGTGGCAGGACAGCCCCCAAGAAATACTAGACCAATTACTCCCCACCGGTGAAAGGCAGGTAGGGGCACCTTAACCCTGCCCCCCACCAATCTGGTGGGTAGCTGTGAGAGCTGTGGGAGCAGTGGGGCCAGGTGTGCCCATTAGAAGGCATCTGAGCCCAACAGAGGCAAAGGGTCCCAGAGGGGGCAATATTGTTGGGAAGAGTTATGGTGAGGGCCTGCGCAGAGTAGGGTGCAAAAAGGGGCACTTGAAGGACTGCATGTGTAGGGTGCAGAGCAGGGCTGCGAGAGTGGCCTGAAGGACAGTACATGGGCCAACTCCATGAGTGAGAACAGAGCCAAGGGGCCCGGTGAGAGGCCCAGAGTGGAGTCAGCCCAGTATCTGGCATAAGGCCAGGCCACGTAGAGTAGGGGACTTCAAAGGAACTGAAGGGCTGCATGTGTCCTGCCAGAATACAAGTAGTGAAGCCTGATGGCCCAAAGGGGCCGCTCAAAAGGAGCAAAGGTGGTGAAGTGTGGCCCAGTGGTGGGCAGTATGTTAGAGGCCCCTGTGAAAAGAGGGAGGAGTGCAAGAGACCCCAAGTAAGAGGCGGGGTGCAGAGTGAGTGTCTGCATGAATGGAGCCCAATGAAGGACTGAATTTGCCCTGGCCGCAGACTGGGGAGTAATCACGATCTGGATGCCATTTGCGAGGCATGGGCCATGGTGTAAGGAGGGTACAGAGCCACAGATAACACACCCTGGCATTGGGGTAATATAAGGGAAGCCTCCTGCTTCTTATATCATATTAACATTCAAGTCGTGGCAGGAAAGTTAGGGCAGACTGCCCTAGGCAGGTGGGTGGGCAGACTTGTAATGAGGCCTCAAGTTTGCCCCCCCTGTCACGGTGTCTCAGGTTCAATTTTTTTTAATCAAACTACTTTAAAATTATCCAAACAAAAATCAAAACTCCTATGTTTTTAGCCAAATTTTTAAAGTCAGCATCTGAAGTTAGGTTTCATAACCCTTATATAGGCACCTACTTGATTTTCAAAAATGTTAAAAACTTAACTCCTCCAGCTAGCAATAAGAATGGTTTGGTGCTTGGCACTTTTTTGGTGTCCCAAGACTAATTTAGGAAGCCAAAATTAAGCATCTCCACTTTGGTTTGTTTTAAATCTTTGCCCTGATATTCATTACAAATAGTGAGTGAAGTTTATTTTGGCTTCCTGAGCCAAAGCAATTTTTATAATATGGAATCTAAAAAAAGCCAGCGAAAAACTCTTGTAAAATGGAAATCATCATAAAGCTGATCAGTCTTGCCAGAACTACCTCAGAACTCTTCTGGCTAAATGCTTTAGGCAAGAAATCACTGGGGGTCAGAGTGGGGGAAGCAAATCAAGTTGCCAATAAATATATCTATTTTGTAATTGCAGCTCTATAATAAAATTACCTGATTTCATACCCAAAATAAGTAAAGGGTTGCCAACGTCAAATATTTAACAATGCTGTATTTCCTATAGAACTAGAAGGGGCAGAATCAGTTTTAGAAAAAAAAAATGTTACTTTAAAAACTGAATAGCATACATATAGTATAACTCCGTAATACAACTGGGTTTAGATTCCCGAGTCTCGTCACATACTACAGCTGGCAGCATACAGGGAAAAAAAATTCAAAATCAGTATTTAAACATAAAAGCAAATCCTACTGCTTATTTTCTAGTTTTCTCAACAACATAGCAAGACCATCACCACTGACATATGTTACTATATACTCAACCTTTGTGCTGTTTCAACTGCCTGTTCCCAATCTTGTAAAGCAAGCTGTAGCTTCATTTTCTTTATGAAAGCAGGAAGGAAGTTTGGGAAATTTGCAATTATCTGGTTCACAGTTTCCAAAGCTCCTGAATAATTTTGGCGGACCTCAAAATATTGTGCCTAATGAAAGTAAAAAAAAAAAGTCATATCAAAGCCCTTTAGCCTTGCAAAACTGTCAAGAGTCAGGAGTATTTTCAGACAGGACCTGAAAAGCAAAGCTGGGGGAGGACCATAAAAACGCTTAGTAGAAGGAACTTTTCCCCATTCTTAATATTTTTCTTCCACATTTCTCTGTGGCAAAAGATACAGAAGGAAAAGACAAGTCAAAAGCTGATACTTGGTAAGCACCTTTATAACAAAGGTAACTGTAGCAAAGAACAAGCAGAAGAATGAATTTTAAAAGACTGACAAGAACTATTAGCTCTTTTCAAAAGGTTAAGGAGGAAGCAGCTGAAACTATCCTAGTGCTGTTGATCCATTTTATCCAATCCCCTAAAACTATCAGTTGTTACCTGGGGTTCCAAGAAGGTTAAATGTCCTCTTACCACACAAACAAAGAAGGAGAATTGGTGTGTTAGATGACACACTTAATTCTTCTACATACCATGGAGGGGAGAAATGTGCACCTGTGCTGAAGATTAACCTCACGTGCCAAACAGGACTCAATGTGAGGTACTAAAGAAATGCACAGTAGGCTGCCTTAATGCACAGTAACAAATGTGCACAGTTTACATGACGTTTAAAGTGCAGTAGCCTAGTTTACTGCACATTAGCGTAATTGCATTGTTTTGTGATGCTTAAATGCACAGTAAACTAGGTTTCTACACATCAAAGTGCATGTGTAGACACACCCAGAGTGCCATTAAGAGCACAAAATAAATAATTAAGAGGAACTATTTATGAGATTTTTCTAATTAGTTTTTCCAGCCAGAGTAACCTTAGTAATGGTCGCAACTATAACTGATACAAATTTTTTATATCAGATTAAACCGTTATATTTTTAAATTATGCTACAATTTGGCAGTTGGCACAGTGACTTTGCGATATTAATGAACATCCAATTTAACTAGGATGAGAACAATTCTTTTATTTGTTCGAGTGGTTTGAAATTCTTTTCCCAAAATGAAAAAGCTTATTAAATAGATGTATGAAGCACACATTCACATGGTGTCTATTAGGCAGAAAAGTATCACTCAACAGCAAAGTTTAATTTGGAAGGAAGAGGAAACATTCTAAACACGTGTATTAATAGTTTAGTTTATGAATGTAAATAAACATTAATTATATAAAAGTTAAAATGAAGATTAGCTTGGGGCTTTCAAAACGACATTCTACCGGGAGAAAAAAGGAAACGAAAAACACTTCTAACTTATGGATCAAAAGAGAATTTCAAGAGTAGGAAACAGATAAACAGAAGTTCATAGTTAAAAGTCCAATACAAATGATCAGCTGATGCAGTGAATTGTGTCCCAATTTTGTCCCCTTGTGTCCATATACAGGGAGAGCAAAGACAAATGCCACTGTAAAAATAGCAATAATACCCATTTATTTTAAATTTTATTTTAATTATATTAAGCATACTCTGTATTGAATTAAATAGGGTAACTCTTATAAACCTACACTATATTTTTGTTATTACTTAATAAAACTGATACACTATCTCCTTCTCTAATGGAAAAACTGAGGCAGTAAATACAGAGTTCTAATCTCACCAGTCCGCCCCCTCCCCCTGTCACCAGGCAAATCATAGAAAATCTCCCCGTAGGTTTCCAACACTCCCAAGACCCAAAGTGCTACCAATAAGATATTTCTATAAAGTATTTTAACAGAATACATTAAACTCACTTTACCCAGCAGGGCAAAAACATCTATCCCTTCCTGCATTGCTTCATCAAAATATTTCACAGCTTTTTTAATATAGGCTTCTTTCCCACAGGTGACATCAAGCCATGCTTTCAAAATCAATCCCTGTAAAGCAAAATACAAATCAGAGTTAAGTAAATGTTAAGACATTTCTCATAATGGCAAGCAGCAATAGAAAACAGTGTCTTATAATATTGCTCTTGAAGCAAGAGCAGGTTAAAAAAATGTTTTAAATCTGACTTTGTTTCTTTTTAAAAAGGAAAATTGTGTCCCATTTAAAAAAATCAAATTACATTTATGTTTTAGTACAGTTTATTAAAATAATTGAAAATTAAATTAAAAAACATAACATCAAGAGGTACATGCTTGCTGCCAAAGTTTCAAACTAAATCATACCAGTGCACTAGGGAAAATTCAATGGGTAAGCACTAGCTAAGTATCTGAAACTAAAGATTGTTGTAGTGACAGACCAGCTTCTGCAGGTTCACAGAATATTTTCTTAATTCCAGATAATTGAAACTTCAGTTCAGTAGCCAATGATTAATTCAAAGTTGCAAAACTGACCAGGTGTTGGGAAGGGAGAAAAGGGGGAGGGAAGGAAAGCTTGTTTTCTTTATTCAATTATGAATAAAAACTAGGGGCAAGAAGATAAGATCTATTAGCTCTAAAATTGTGAAAGTCATTGCACCCAGAAATGTAGTTTGATTCACTAAGTGTGGGGAATATTTGTTTTATTTAATATATCAGTTTTAAATGCAGAAGCACTTCTTATGTCTCTAGCACATTTAACAAAAATATATATAAAATTTAAAGAGAAATTTTAAAGTCCTTGTTTTCCGTATTATGTCCATTCAAATTTTAATCCTAAAGTAAAATTAATCTAGTAAGTGGAAAAAAAAAAGCAGAAAGCAAAGCAGTTGACTGGACAGGTGACACATAATTTGCGGCTTGCGTACCAGAAATGTTGCCTCTCCCCCCTATTTTAATCTATTCATGTAGTTATGTACATACAGCATGTTCTTCTAGTCAGCAAAAATAACCAATGTTTATCATAAAGGCTAGCTGCATATATTCGTAATATTTAAGAATTAGCAGAGAAGCTGTTTAGCCTGGAAAACTTGGTTGCTCATTTGTTTTGGCTTTGGCTTTACTTTTTTGCTTATTTAAATATATGAACACCATCTTTAGTTGAACCACCACTATTCCACACCATTTCTAAAATTTTCTAAGAAATATTGGATGCTAACATATTCAAATTACAATTAAAAAAGGTTATAATTTCTCGGCTTCAAAGGTTTGCTGGAAAGTCCCCCAAAAATAACACAAGTGGCATTTTCTAGGAAAAAACATTTATACCCCAAACCAGAAGCTTCCTAGCTAATAGTATTTCTGCCAGCGACTTCATATCTTGCTTTTCAGATAATGAATCTAGATCTTAATGAAATTAAAATAGCCCTGTGCTTCCCACAACATAATGCCTCCCCTTTGGCATTACAGCATATGAAATAAAATAGAAGATCATTCCATGTAGCAGTGGGATAGAAAATCTAGTTTTAAGAGACCAATATTCTTATTTTATACAGAAAGAAATAAACAGCAGTTACCTCTTTATCTCCATTAGAAACTTTGATCATTCTATCAACATATTCACGAGCTTTATCCTGACGGCCGAGATGCCACAAAAACAAACCTGCAAAGTACAAAGCCTGCTGTCCTGCTGTCTTACGATGTTCCTTCATTTTGGCATCCAGTTCCAGAATAGCATCTCGATCTGAAATCAATCAATAACAGCAGAAATTGTTCAAGAAATTTTGGTACATTTCCAAGCTGTAAGTTATAGTACAATAATTATGGGACAAAGTGTCTCATTCCCAGCTGGTTGGCAGTTCTAAACATGCCAGCCTGAAGCAGACTCAAACATAAGCGTAAAGTGGCCCCATTAATAAGGTCCTAAGGTAATGCTTTGGTTAAAAAAAATCCAGAATGTTTTGCCAGCGTTCATGTTCCTATCAGCATCTGGCTAGTAACTGAATGGTAATTTGGCAGCAACAAGTGCTAGATGACAGATAAGAGGGCTACTGGGAGGGTTCAGTATGCAGTGTAACATGTGGAGAAGAAGGAAGGGCATTTTTTAAACCAAAGATACTTTTACAGAAAAAAAAAATCTTACCCTGCCAGGCAAGATGCCCTATAACATGCTATACTGTCCTGCAAGATGTATCCCCTGAACTGAAAACAGCATAGCCAGAGTCATAAATGTTTATTAGTTTAGCAAAGCAACAGTGTGCATCTCAGATCTTTGTATTTTATTTGTAAAAACATTTCTATTTATCCTATTTTTATACAGAATTTCTGTATATATATTTTTGTCACTGTTTACCCAATTACAGTATCAGATACTCCAGTCACATGCAAGGCAAGCATGTGTTTTTTTTTTTTTTAAGAGTCGATTATACTTCTCAGTTTACACTGCAGGTAGATCTCTTAACTGTAAACATCCTAAACTTGGCAAAACACAAAAGGGCAATGAGATTTCAACAAACACACCTGGATTAGAGCTCTTCTTGTGGGCATAGATGAGTGCCATCATTGTGCAAAGTGACACCTCTTGTTTGTTTTTAATATGTTCAAACTCCCGAATGGCCTCTTGAACTTGACCTACAAAAAAAGAACCACCAAATAATACACTATAGTTTCTCTTAACAACTTAAAAACACCAGCCCTTTGCAAAAGTACTTAGCTTGTTATTGCAACAATTAACAATTTAGAGGACTACATCAGAAAGAATGGAGTTTCTCCCCTCCAATCTATTTTGTGCAGTTAACAGCACTTTGCATATAGTAAAGTAGGGAAAATAAATGAAGTTTGAGTCTTCCACAAAGCAAAGAAAATAAGTGGGGTTTTGCTCTAGTTCTAGGAGACACCAAGGGCAGGAAGTTCAAGGACAAGTTCATGGACTCAAACTATTTTGTTACACTTCATTTTCAAAAACATCTCAAATAATGAGTACAGGTTTCCCTCTCTTTATGCTGTATATGCGTTCCTGGAATATGGCGCATAACTCAAATTTGCATCAAGGGAACCTGCTTTACAATGTAACAAATAGGGATACATTCCAAGACCTTGACTGTACTGACTCCCAGGCCATTTCTACCACTTTTAAAAGACAATGCTGGTACTCACCAACAGCAGACAGTACACACAAGCACAGGGCACTATCATAATGGGGATAGTAACTACAGAAATCCATCACAGACAACGAGCGAGAAGCAAAGGTCCACAGAGAAGACCGTATTTGGGTACATGTCACTCGCACAGCGCACTGCACAAAGCAGCTGACTGCAGGCTTCCACCACACCAATCTCGTAAGAGGGACTTTTACCTCGCATATAACAAATTTTTGGTATAAAAAGGATCATTGTGTAAGAGCAAATTCACACATACAGAACCCGTATAAAGCAAGAGAAACCTGTAGGGTAAACAAACCCCAAAATACAGGATTTAAAGTATCTTGCCAAAAAACAAGTGTAAGAGAATTATCTCTTTATAACTTTATTTTCCTATGTGCACTTTGTTGGTTTGAGTCTATTTAGAAAGACTCTTGGTCTAAAGGTGTAATGATGGGTAAATGAAAACTGAGAGGTAGCTAGCCATGCTAGCCTGAAGACAGGATAGAGATACACATTACAAATGAACTAAATAAACTATACAGAGGCCATAACTTAAGCTCATGAACTTGAGCTCACTTCATTAGACACTGTGTAAGTAAAAATGTATGCAGTCATTATGTGCAGACAGACAGAGGCATGAACAACATGTGCCCCTCAGTGGCTGGGGAGGGCACAGCGGTGGCAGGGGTAAGTAGGGAACTCCTGCAGACACTGCAGGTGGGGGAAGAGGGGTGGCGAGCACCGACCAGGGGTTGGTGACCACCCATGGACGCTGCTGGCAGTGTCGATTGCTGACCACCTGCAGACACCGCTGGCGGTGATGGCAGCGGCGGGGGGCGCCGCATGTAGCAACTGCCCAGATGCCACCCACACCCTTTTTGTAGGGGATGCACTGCCATGCTCAGGGGGTGCATGTGCACCCCCTACGCACTGCCAATGGACAGAGGCCTGTAAAACGTAGGAGATATATCTTTCTATAGAAAAAGTGAAGTGCTTGACTATGGGGCAAGTAATGTTTCCACAAAACAGAGGGGAAAAAATATGCCTTTGAACCAGGGTGTAGTGCAGTGATTCACAAGCCGGGTGCCATGGAACCATGGGATGCCCTGAGATTCTTTTGAGGGTGTGGCAGAGTGGTACACAATGTTAGCTGTGTTAGGTGCACAAACACGATTCACCACATAAACGCAGAGTTTTCAAACAGGAATCCATAGCGACAAACCCACTGTGCCCTGCTGCAGCTTTCCAAGCGCTTAGCAACAGAGCTTGGCAAATAGTTGAAGGGCTGCCATAAAGAGAAGGGAAAGCACCTTTTCTATTTTGCTGCCCGGAGGAGGACACAAACTTTGGTTGCGAAGTTGCAGCACAGTAAGTTTAGACTGACCAGCTGGAAAAACTCCTTCACTGTTAGAACAGTGAGGCAGCAGAATAGACTGTCTATGGAAGTTATAGATTTTCCATCACTGGAGATGTTCAAGAAGAGGTTGGACAGCCACTGGTTGGGGATTATCTAGGTACAGCTGTGCCCATGTTCTACCACGGATATTTCATGTGCTTCTGGGCTTGGCTGGTTGCTACGTATCAGGGTGTTTTAAGCCTTCTGAGAGGCACTGGGTATTGGCTACAACCAAGGCCGGGGCTTTTCACTGGAGTGTGCTAATGCTCCTGTTGGAACCAAAGCTGGAGGATCCTGGCTACAGGGTCTTGTCCATTTGCTCAGGGTCAGACCAATCACCATATTTGGGGTCAGGAAGGAACTAGACCTCCCCGGTCAAAAGGATACAAAAAAACTGTGTGAGTTTTTGCCTTCCACGTCAGCACAGGGCAGGGCTCTCTACCTGGGATCTTTTGAATATGCATTGACATTTCATGGAAGTGGGATGCTGGCTGCCCTGCTCTCCCTCTGGCAGGCTGGCACGCTGGGCTGCAGTGTGTCAGGGTTGAAGGTCTTACGCAGAGTTCAGATCAGTAGGGGGCAACCCACGGCAAGCAAAGGCACACGTGCCTCGGGGAAGGGACTGGTGCTGCGCTGCCGCAACAAGGATCAGGCCCCTCATGGCTCTACTGCCACACGCCCCTGGCACACCAACATTTTCCAAGCCAAGGTTGTGGGTGTTTTTGGTACTCTGCCCAAAACCAGTGCTGCCCCCTGGTTGTATGTATGGTTGTCAGGCATGACCTCTGGAGGTCCCTTGCAGCCCTACTCCTCTATGACTAGGGGCACTTTTACACGTGCTCTGGGGTTGCGGGGAGAGCTGCGCTTCAAGGGGAGCAGGGACACTGATGCACAAGATGCAGGAGGATGCTGGAGCGCAGCAACTGCCACGCTGCAGCAGACTCGATGAACCAAGTATACCCCGATACGCTGCCTCCACGCTTGTGTCCAATCCTAGGAAGAGAGAAGCCGCTCCGGTAGTTTTCCACAAGTCAAAAAGCCAAGTGAGGAGGAGAAGCACGCACGCTCCGAGGGGGCCCTCGAGTGTAACCAAGGCCAGCCCCAGCGTACTGAGAGGCCCCGAGCCTAACACTGCACCGCGGGGACGGCAACACCCCGCGCTTTCCCCCGGGCTTCTGCCAAGAGGAGCTGAGCTCGGGACCAGCGCGTGCCCCCCTCGCCCCACCAAAGCCGACAGGGAGCCTCCGCCTCAGCTCGAGCACGAGCCTCGGGGCTTCCCCGACCCCGCCGCCGGTTACCTGCCATGAGGAGGCCGGAGGCGCGGGAGAAGAGCAGCACGGGGGCGCCAGCCGCCTTGCGGAGCCCGTCCTCGGACACGG